AGGAGTTTGGGGATCATAGTTATAGGAATAGTGTTGAGTGTTCGAGTGAGAGTATTGAGCTTTCGATGCCTTTGTCGACTTCTTCCATTGTGGTATCGGTTGATGAATGGCAGACTGTGAGGGCAGGTGGGGATGAGATTGGGAAATGGTTGTTGAATATGGAGAGTGTTGAGTTTGGTGATCAGGTCGGAACGAGCTCTTTTAAGGGGTTTTATAAGGGTAAGAAGGTTGCTATTGAAAAACTAAAAGGATGTGATAAGGGGAATGCGTATGACTTTGAGCTCCGGAAAAATTTATTAGAGCTTATGACTTGTGGGCATAAGAATGTTGTGCCGTTTTATGGTGTATGTGTAGACGAGAATCATGGGCTTTGTGTTGTTACTAGATTAATGGAAGGGGGATCAGTTCATGACTTGATGTTGAAGCACAAGAAGCTTCAAAACAAGGAAATAATGAGGATTGCTGTTGATGTTGCAGAAGGTTTAAAGTTTATGAATGATCACGGTGTTGCATACCGGGACCTGAATTCCCAAAGAATCTTATTGGACCGCCAGGGCAGTGCTTATTTAGGGGACGTGGGAATAGTCACTGCATGCAAGAGCATTGGTGAGGCCATGGAATATGAGACTGATGGTTACCGGTGGCTTGCTCCTGAGGTATTTTCTCATTGCCAGCATATGTTATGGACTTTATGTCATCTAGCCTTGTTAACAAATGTGTGTTATTTCAATTTATTTTTAATAGATAAGCTGTTAATTTGTCCCTGCTATTGCTACTTAGCCAAGATCATAAATACCTTGTGGCGTTTACTGTACTACAATTGATAAGTTGGTGTCATATTCCTGCCGAAACCCACCATTTCCCGTGACCACAACTATTATTGGTTTCTCTTTGTAGTAATTAAGAATATGTATTTGTGGATTTTGTTCTAAAGTGTTATAAGGAAAGATAACATGTCCTTTTGTTTTTTATTGACTTTTATGATTTGTGAATTTCGGTTCATCATAACTTTATGCTTTTGCACATAGTAAATGATTAAATCAATAAAAGTTCCAGGTGAAATTTTTTTCCCTCAATTCCTTTTTGAAATTAGAACCTCAGCCACTTAATTTTGTTTATGATGATTCTGGGCAACGTGTGCTGATTATATTTACTGATTTGTTGAAGCCTTTGGTAATTATGCATTCGATAATCAATATACCTCAATCCATGGTAATAAATGAAAAACTGAGTGTGTTTTTTTATCAAATACTTTGGTTATTCCTCCTTCAGTAATTATGCATTCGGATAAATAATCTGCTAGCCACTCAGCCACCGGGATAATAAGTGTTTTTTTTTGTTTTTTTTTTGTTGCTTTCCTAGTAAAGATTATACCCTATAAGATCAACTATGAGCTTCCGTTACCCAAACTTTTTCTAAAGTTCTTTGAAATTTCTTGTTCATTTACTGTATATCTAATTAAGGCTCTCAAGTCTCAACATATTGAGTCATTGTAAGTAGCATCTGTCTTTTTTTTTTTTGTTAAAGGATGGCTTTATGTCTTTTCAAATATCATCACTTTTATGAGCATGCAGAACATGTCTTTATAATTGTTCTGCGTTATAGTGCTTTTAATGCTTGTTAACCTTTATCTGCCTTGGTAAAACACAATTTTCCTAGTGTAATTATGCAGTAGCACCACATTTTTCTATTTTGATGGTTATTGTCCTTATTGTTGAGAAAGAGCTTATTCCCCTTTTCTAGTAAAATTATGATAAACTACTTAGGTTGGTTGTTTTTTTTAATAGTGAGAAGAGAGAAAGAGGGGGGGGGGGGGGGGGGGGTACAATGACTAATTGACTACTGAATCTATTTTCCACCAGTTTTGCTGTTCTTTTCCAGTTTGGTTTGGTTGATTATTATTCCAGTTAAACGAAATTTTTATGCTTATTTGGGCATCACTTGACTTTGTTGAACTTTGTGATAGTCTATGACTCTGATTTTGTTGTTCATGTGTTTTTTATTAAGATCATTGCAGCTGATCCTGAAAGCGTTAGTGAGACATGGATGAGTAACGTATACAGTTTTGGAATGATAATTTGGGAAATGGTGACTGGTGAGGCTGCCTACTCTGCATACTCACCTGTCCAGGCAGCTGTTGGAATTGCTGCTTGTGGCCTTAGACCTGAAATTCCTAAAGAATGCCCTCAAGTCTTGAAATCTCTCATGATGAAGTGCTGGAACAATTCCCCTTCAAAGCGACCTCAATTTTCTGAAATACTCTCTATACTACTGCGGCCTAACAACATTGGTACCATAAACAACAGGTGAAAGTACAATCTACCATGATAATTTGGTTTCTATATCTATTTTGCAAAATTTCATGTAAAAATGTGCCTGTTTGTGTAGTTACATCCCCTCATGGATGTAATGCAAGTTTGTATTCCTCAATGGTGAATGAAAGTTATAGTTTTGTTCTGGCCACTCCACTTTATAACAGTCTGCTCTCAGTGTAAAAAGGACATAGTTTTCTTGTGGATAGCATCATCATCGCTCATGTTACACGTATAATTTGGACATGATGCTGAGATATCACATCATTTTTTCGTTTGTGCCCGCCGTTTTTTAAGGTTGCTGATTCCGTTTTTCTCATATAAGATATACTCCGTATAAGAGTATAGAAAGAGGGAAAAAAAAAAAAAGGAATTGTGTACCTTGATGACCCTGCATGTTGGATGATCAATGTGACATTTGGCTTTGATTCCCTTTTATGCTTGTTTTGTGGCAAACGCAAGGGTCCCTAAAGAGTTTAATTGTTTAATTAAAGTATTCTTTCATTAATTCTTTGGCTGATAGGGACCTTTTCGCCTTTTTGACCACCCCACTCTCTCTTGAGGTAAACCAGGAAAGGTGGGTTGTTGAAGTTCCCTTGTCTTTGCACCATTTTTTGAATCCCACTATCACGACATGTTTGTTGCAGAATGTTTGTTATTACCATATCTTGTTCAGTAGACCTTATAGTTTTCTACATTATGAGTTCAGCAAATATATACTGCAAAATGAATCTTACCGGACTTTTTCCAGGCTTGTTATTTTACAGGCCGCATTTGGCTGTTTAACTTAACCTACTGTGTTGCTGTATGCCTGATTGCCTGTATGTACCTCCTTGAGGTCCTTGAGCAGTTGAACTTTCCCTTGTACTACCACTCTACTGATTAGCTAGAGTTGGCGGTTTGGTGCGCATGACTGCAACCTTGCGTTACAGGCTTGAATGCAGATTACCACCCTCTTTCGCATACTAATTTCAGCATAGATAGACAATTGTAGCTTAAATTTATTAATTTTAACTGCTGATTTCAGACTAATAGTGGCACAAACCCAAATATCGGTTTGTGTCATGTGATACAATGATAGTAATCATTGTATTGACTTTTTCTATTTACTAAGAGAAAAAATGTATCATCCAAGTTGAAGAACACATGGAAGATTGTAGCTCAACGATGTATGTGTCAATTATGTCTGCGATTAATTTGCTGCTTAATCTACATTGTCACGTTCTAGTTTGTATATAATTTTCCGTTATTATGGTTTTATAATAGACCATTAAAAGTTGCTAAACACTCCCATGTGAGTTTACCAACAAACATGTTTCATTTCACGTTTAAGTTCTCGGATCCTCTCGTCTATTAATTAACTATGGAAATTTAACAACCTTTTTTCCTGGTCCATTTAAATTGCATAATGCTTTTATCAACTTATTTAACCCAGCTTGACCCATTTTGTCGATCCAGTGTGGTGGCCTATCGTATATCTTGTATAAGCCATGATAGGATGTATTTTTTGGAAGCCTTGAAGGATCATCATGATTAATAAGAGTATAAAAGACGTTTTTCATGGACGATGCTTTCGTAATATTATCCCTGAATTAAACTTCATTCGTGATTAACTGATTAGCATTTACATATTGAGTTGTTTTGCTGATCACATAGTAACATTAACTTTGTATTTTCTTATATGCTCAGTGTTTCTTTCTAAAAAAAATATTGTGAGTTCATTTCATCATGACTTGAATGCTGTTTAACCATTCAATAGATAATTTTAAAAAATACTCCGTAATATATATCCAATAACTTGTATAGAAATTTCAAATACTTATAATGTTTTTAAATTTCAAAAGGAGAGATGCTCAAAAACTTATACTCTATATAAAAAGGACTGTAAAATAATTTATTGTGCAAACAAAAATTTGACTTTTCATATACGTAACTTTTAACTACGGGCGAGCCCCCATTTATCTCCGAGAGAAACGGTTTTTGTTTGTCTCATGCACGCCACCTAGGCATTTATTCAATAAAAAACTCTGTATTAAAAGTGGGCCCAAATTTGGGTTAAGTCACGGTGTTAGCTTTAAAATTGACGGAATTTAGACGCTACTTGACCCCCAATCCCCAACATACTTTTAGAATTGCATTTCCCCCAAATTACTGTAATGGAAATGTCATGGTTTCGCTCTGTATGTAGATCTGGCTGAAGGTTGTTTGTCGGGCCTGCTCCGCAGCGGTGTACTTGTCTCTTAATTTCTGTTCTTCGAATGCTTCTTCGCTGTTACGGTTAGTTTTAATTCGCTTACGCAGTTCCAATTTGCCCGTATTATTCCTCCATTAGTCGAATGTGTTGAGTTGTGCTCTCTATATAGCTTAATTACAAGTATTTATGTTTCATTTGTTAAATAAATGATTGTAATATTTGCTAATTCTGTTCTAATTGGATTGTAGTACTGTTGTTATGATACGATTTCTGTTCTAATTGGTTTCTATTTTTGTTGTTATGAAACGAATTTTGTTCTAATTGGTTTCTAGTTTTGTTGGTATGAAACAACTGATTAGTAATTGTGATTGTTGTTCGTTGAAGTGTAGTTGGCTAAAACTGTTAAGCCCCATCACTGACATTATCTCTTATGCATGTACTCTGCATTTTCTGAGTGGATACATTATGCTTTTTTTTTTTTTAATTTTATTTTTTATATATATATATGCTAGTAGGTGCTTGATCTCATGTCTGAAATGGAAGAAGATGGAGTAGTTCCTTTAGGAGGGAACTGTGAAGAGATTGGTACCTTGATGGAGTGTGTCGTAGGTGAAACTGAACAAGAGGTTGGTCCCTTGTTGGACATAGGTGTAGTTGAAATTGAACACGAGGTTGGTACGCTGTTGGAGATAGGTGTAGATGACAATCAGCAAGAGGGAGCAGAAGCTATGAGTGCAGAGTGTTTGGAGAACATTACCTTGTCTCACACCAAAGAAAATAACACACTCCCTTCTTGTTTCAATGACAAAACTAGGAATTCACCCCAATCCCATTCCCCAACGCATACGGTGAAGTCATTGCAAACCCTTATTTCCAGTACTGAGGAGATTGTGGATGCAAGTGTTGACCCTCCTAAAGAGGGAATGCTATTTAAACGGTGGGAGGAAATTGAGTTGTACTACAAAACTTACGCGGAGCAGTGTGGATTTGGGGTGAGTAGGGTGCAAGGATCATACACTACTACAAAAGTGAGGAGGGCAATAACTTGGAGGTGTGAATGTTGGGAGTCACCGGATATGAGGGCAAAGCGTGATGCAAAGAAAAGGGCTAAGTTCATGGAAGTTGGGGGAAGCGGAGCAAATGTGAAGGGTCTTATTGGTGAGACAGAGCTTGATCAAGGAAAACGTAAATCTAAAAAATGTGAGTGCCTAGCTAGGGTTTATGGGAGTATGAACAGTGATGGTTTATGGGTTTTGAGAACTGTAGTCTTGGAGCATACTCACGATCTGTCCCCTACCATGGAAAATTTGGTTAAAGAGTATCGGATGAAGAAATTGACATCAACGTTCGAAGGAGGTTGGTGAATTTTTTTGAGCAAGGTGTAACGGTTACTCAAATTCGTGGTTGTTTAGGGCTTGAGAACATACGATTGCCTAGCGTGAAGGATCTTCAACACGAGGTGTATAAGCAAAGGAGATTGAAGATGGCTGGTGGAGATGCACAAGCCATGATGGCATATTTTGATTATATGCAAGCCGATAACCAAAGGATCAATACGACTCATTAACCAATACCCCAACTGCCGAGGTAAGTGCATGTCCATTGGAATATTCAACAACCCACCAAAACCCATTTCGTTAACCCAACGGGTTCTCCTCTCATCAAATGTGTGGCATATTCTGGAAAATGTCTCAATACGACATTTCATATTAGGTGGCTGCAAATTACAGGTCCCACATAAGAGAAATAAACAACAATTCAGGAATTATATTTACTTTTGAAGACATTGAATACATGACATACCCGACCAAACACTTCCACTTGTTGCTTGATGACCTCGCCCTTTGCCTTTACTCTGCCACCAACACTAACACTATCATCCTTCAAAACCAAATACAGCAGTTCAGTTTCAAACTCACTACAAAAAATGCTCTAGAAAATATAAAGCAATACACCCTATGAAATTTCATACCAAAAACAGTTGAGTTGATAGAACTTTTGTTTCAGAACTTGAATTTCGATTCTTAGCCTGTATCCATCACAAAATCACAGCTTTCAATCAACACACAATATTGCCACTTGATCATCAGGATTAACCCATAGAATGAAAAAATAACAATGACAATAAAGACAACTCATTTACCATTGAAGTTGTTCCCCACCACCAAAAAATTGCACACCACACTCCAAACGATCAAGACAGATAATATAAGCAAGCTTTGGCTACATAAACAACCAAAATCCATATGTTCAAACTGAATTCCATATAGTAATTATAGACATAATTCTTTATTTTTACTTAAACAAGATCACAGTACATATCAACTTATAATTGACAACACTTTATAATGGATTTGCTATTCCAGAAGGTATGCAGCTTCATAATTTAAATCAATTAGTATTACACAATAATTTTTCACAAACACATATCCAATTGATTTCGCAAACAACAATTAATTAATAACTATTAGTTATTCTAGGGCTAATTCTATTCACCAAAAGGGTTATATTCATTCAATTGATTTCGCAAACAATAATTATGCAACTCAACAATTTCTTTACCTCAATCGCAGCAGCAACTCAATCGCAATAGCTCAATCACAAATCCACATTAGCTATATCGGCTTGAAATTGCTCGAACGGTTAGTGAGTTGAGTAGGCTTCCCTGCATGTGCCCCTAAATGGAATAATCGCTTCGCGATGAATTCTCTTCCTCAATTCTGTCACTAGCATGAGCAACATTCACTCTCTTCCCAGGAATTGGTTCTAGGGTTTGGGTTAACGGTTGTTTACAAAGTCGTTAGTCAAACATTTGACTGGAAACTAACGACTAAGAACCGTGAAGTAGCAAGTTGTTACAAAAAGACATTTTTAACCCCAAGTCGTTTCTCTCGGAGATAAATTTAAATTCGCCGTTTAACTACTTCAAAATTATATGTTGAGAAATACTAGTCAAATACGGAAGTATCATAATCAAACTTTAAGGAAAACAAGAAAGTACATGGAGTACATTACCGTAATTAGGAAGCTATTATTTACGATATGAAATACGGAGACCCAGAAAAGTATCTATATTGGGCCTAGTACAAAATGAAACCCAGCCCAATAGGCCAGTACCACAAATACCCGAAATAGAAAACAGAGGAAAAGAAAGATGATAGAAAACGACGTCGGTCTGTGGAAAAGCTGACTTTATCCGAGAACTACTGTCGTCTCGCATCTTCGTACTAAACACGCTCATTTTCTCTCTCCTGCAACACCAACATCATCATCACCAAAACCAAAGGAGTGAGAAACCTGAAATGGAGTGAGCCCCTCAGAAAATGGGGTTTCATTTTCATTTGTCTGTTTTTTTCACTCTTAAACCCTAATTTTGTTAATTGTCTATTTTACCCTTTCCCCATTACACTCACTCTTTCTTTCTCTCTCTCACTCTTCTTCTCTATCTAACTTCTTCTTCAGTACTCCAGCTACCAATATAAACTCAATAAACAACAATCCGTTTTCTCTCTCTTCTTCATTTTCTCTCTCTAACCTTCGATTCGATTCGATTCCATTCTTCCTTCGTCGGCATTCTCAGAGACATAGGTATGTTGTTCTTCGCTTTTACTTTGTTTTTCGTATAATTTCATCTTTTAATTGCTTGTTTACTTTGATTTCGAATCGAATCGAATCTGAACTGTTGATATATCTTCAGAAATGAGGTTTTTCTGGTGTAAATTAGGATTAGGGTTTCTGATTTTGGCACCGATCATCAGAAATTGTTATAGTAGAGCTAAATCGTCGTCATATCTGACGCTGTTATTGTTTGAATTAATATTGTTTTTGTTGACTTTTCCGATGGTTCGTGGACGGCGATTTTTGACCAGTTGTTTGCTCTATATGCTTCCAAGGAAGAGAGCTGCTGGTGAAGGTGAGGTAGTTGACGATACAACAACTTCTTCTTCGTCTTTTAATAAGTCTCGCATCGAAGGATCCGCCTCCGCTTCCAATTCCGTCAATTCGACATTGAATAACTCGAATTCTGATAGTAGGTTTACAGTTGAGAACAACGATACCGAAGTTACGATCACCATGGCTATAGGCGATGGTAATCCGCAGGAAATTGATGAGGATCTGCATAGTAGGCAGCTGGCTGTGTATGGGCGTGAGACTATGAGGCGCCTTTTCGCCTCCAATGTTCTCGTCTCGGGGATGCAAGGCCTCGGAGCTGAAATCGGTACAATTATTTTTGCTATGTTTTCATTGTTATGATGTTTATGTTAGTTTGATTGTGGTTATCTTGCTAATAGTTTGATTTTGCGGTTTTTGAAATTATGTGAGCTCTTGATCATTGATTCGTCTTTGATAATGACAATATGGAGCTATATTGAATTAATGCTATTGTTGAGCTAGACGGGTTAGGGAGTAAATAAAATGATCATCCCTGAGAAAATACTGCATATTTCTGAATTGTAATGTATTCTGGTAGTTGTATTGAAAATTGAAATTAGTATCTGTTGATGTTTTTTCTGTAGTTATGTAATTTCAAATAAGTAGTCTTAGATTCTCAATGTCCGTCTTCCATGTATGCTATGTAGCGAGATCCTATATTTATCTCTTTGACATTGGTAATTAACCAGCACTGGTTCTGCGTTGTTTACTTTGCGTCACAGTTTGTTGTCAACCATTTGTGAAAATACCTGATAATATCACATAATTTCGATTATTGATGTTAGGGTCTGTTTGGCCAAGTTTCTAAAAACCAATTTCTGTTGAATTCTCAGAAGTAGTTCTCCTGAAACACTTTGGAGAAATAATTGTATTTGGCCATAAAATTTAAAAGTACTTTTAAGAAACCAAATCAGTTTTTACATTGTTTGGCCCAATATATATGATACTCCATATAACTCTAGCCAGCTAAAGTAATTAACCAGCACTGGTTCTGCGTTGTTTACTTTGTGTCACAGTTTGTTGTCTTCCATTTGTGAAAATACTTGTGAAAATACCTGATAATATCACATTATTTCGATTATTGATGTAACTAGTTTGTAAGTTTAAGGTTTGTGGATTTGTAATACTTATCCTAGACAAGGGAGCAGTTTAGTACTTCTTTCTTGAATCTTATAACTTCTTCCTCCCATACCTGTTCTGGTTCTCATTCTTGACATGGTCTACGGATTTAGCATTGTGGTGTTAGTTTCAAATGTTACCTTAAAGGGGTTTTACTGTTTTGATAATCTCAAATAGGATACATACGAGTTGGTCTTCTGACTAATGCTTGAGATTGACTAGCTGCCATTTGGTAGCTAAAGGACTCTATAATGATGTGAATGTCAACATATCACTATATATGATATTACCCATGAACTGAGGACCTAGGATCATATAGTCTTCTTGTATCTTGTGTTTGTAATCCTCCAATTCTGGTTTGAGACTTTCTTGATCTTGACAATTAAAACATTTTTTTTCCCCTTTTTCTTTTAAAAAAATTTACAGCAAAGAATCTTATCCTTGCTGGTGTCAAGTCTGTCACCCTGCATGATGAAGGAGCAGTGGAGCTATGGGATTTGTCAGGCAATTTTCTTTTCTCTGAAGATGATGTTGGGAAAAACAGAGCGCTTGCTAGTGTGCAAAAGTTGCAAGAACTGAATAATGCAGTGCTTGTTACAACTTTGACAACTAAACTGACAAAGGAACAGCTTTCTGACTTCCAGGTACTGCCACACCTATTTCGTCCATATATGTATCAAACTACTGTTGAGGAAAAAAAATAGAATATAAATATTTCTTTTAATGGAAAAAATTGGGAATGTTGATTTCTATAGTTCTATCAGATATATTTACTAGATGAAAGTCCCTTGTCTGTGGATGATGTTTGTTGGTTGATATTGTGTTTGACATTTTTAGAATATCAAGCGGCTATTTATGGTTTCATGTTCTTGCTATATTATAATGAGCTTGGTCTGTTTTTCTTTTCTTTAGGCTGTTGTATTTACTGATATCAGTTTGGACAAAGCTATCGAGTTCAATGATTACTGCCACAGTCATCAACCGTCTATTGCTTTCATTAAAGCTGAAGTTAGGGGCCTTTTTGGCAATATGTTTTGCGACTTTGGACCTGAGTTTACTGTTGTTGATGTGGATGGTGAGGAACCACACACTGGTATAATTGCTTCTATCAGCAATGACAACCCTGCTCTTGTATCATGTGTGGATGATGAAAGACTGGAGTTTCAGGATGGTGATCTTGTTGTGTTCTCTGAAATTCACGGGATGCCAGAACTAAATGATGGAAAGCCAAGAAAGATTAAAAATGCGAGGCCCTATTCATTCACTCTTGAGGAGGACACCACAAATTACGGTGTATACCTGAAGGGGGGTATTGTGACACAAGTCAAACAGCCAAAGCTTCTGCATTTTAAGCCTTTGAGAGAGGCACTAAGTGATCCGGGTGACTTTCTTTTGAGTGATTTTTCAAAGTTTGACCGCCCACCTCTGCTGCATTTGGCATTTCAAGCTTTAGACAAACTTGTGTGTGAGCTAGGACGATTTCCTAGTCCTGGTTCTGAAGATGATGCACAGAAGTTAATATCTTTAGCTAGTAAAATTAATGAGGGCTTAGGTGATGGCAGGCTGGAAGACATCAACCCTAAACTTCTACGCCACTTCGCTTTTGGGGCTAGGGCTGTACTGAATCCTATGGCTGCCATGTTTGGTGGTATTGTTGGACAGGAAGTCATGAAGGCTTGCTCTGGAAAGTTCCATCCTCTCTTTCAGGTTATTACTGGTCCCGATCTTTTTTTTGCTAAGTATGTATTTTCAATTTGTTGGAACTTTATATATTTTATTTATATATTTGATTTATTTTTGCTTTGTAGTTCTTCTACTTTGATTCAGTTGAGTCACTTCCTACTGAGCCCTTGGATCTCTCTGATTTTGCTCCAAGAAATTGCCGCTATGATGGTCAAATTTCTGTTTTTGGATGGAAACTCCAGAAGAAGCTAGAAGATGCTAAAACATTCATTGTTGGATCTGGTGCTCTTGGGTGCGAATTCTTGAAGAATTTGGCTTTGATGGGTGTTTCTTGTGGTGGCCAAGGGAAGCTTACAGTTACTGATGATGATGTTATTGAGAAAAGTAATCTCAGTAGGCAATTTTTGTTCCGTGATTGGAACATTGGGCAGGCTAAGTCCACTGTTGCTGCTGCTGCTGCCTTAGCAATAAATCCACAGTTCCATGTTGAAGCCTTGCAGAATCGTGTTGGTTCTGAAACTGAAAATGTGTTTGATGACACTTTTTGGGAAAATCTAAGTGTTGTAGTCAATGCACTGGACAATGTGAATGCTAGACTGTACGTAGATCAGAGATGCTTGTATTTCCAGAAGCCTCTCCTTGAATCAGGAACTTTGGGTGCCAAATGCAACACACAAATGGTCATTCCTCATCTTACTGAAAATTATGGCGCTTCACGAGATCCACCTGAGAAGCAAGCTCCTATGTGCACAGTGCATTCTTTTCCACACAACATTGACCATTGTCTGACCTGGGCTCGCTCTGAATTTGAGGGACTACTTGAGAAAACACCAGCTGAAGTGAATGCATATCTTTCAAATCCTAGTGAATACACTTCATCTATGAGGAATGCTGGTGATGCTCAGGCTAGGGACACTTTGGAACGTGTTCTTGAATGCCTTGAAAAGGAAAGATGCAAGACATTTGAGGACTGTGTTGCTTGGGCTAGGCTTAAGTATGTCTCACTTGCTAATCAAATGATGTGTGTATAGTTTATGCATCACTCTAACTCTTGGTTTTCATAAACAGGTTTGAAGACTACTATACCAACCGTGTGAAGCAGCTGACGTATACATTCCCTGAAGATGCTGCAACCAGTACAGGAGCTCCATTTTGGTCAGCCCCAAAGAGATTTCCTCGTCCCTTGCAATTTTCATCTTCTGATCCTTCACATCTGCATTTTATTATGTCTACTTCTATATTACGAGCTGAAACGTTTGGGATCCCCATCCCTGATTGGGCAAAACATCCTAAGAAATTGGCTGAGGCTGTTGATAAAGTCAAGGTCCCCGACTTTCAGCCAAAAAAAGATGCCAAAATTGTTACAGATGAGAAGGTTACTAGCCTTTCCTCTTCTTCTATAGACGATGGAGCAGTCATTGATGAACTTATAAGTAAGTTGGAGCACATTCGCAGCAATTTATTGCCGGATTTCAGGATGAAACCAATCCAATTTGAGAAGGTAAATTTTCATTTCATTTTTGATGATTGCGTTACTGGTGACTGTTGAATTGAATGTTGGTGTTAAGGATTAAGGTATGATGTAAGAGATTATTTTCTGTGCTCCCATGTCATTGTATATAATCCTACATAAAATTTCAGTTGTGGTACTAGAAGTATAAAATTAATTAACCATAAGGAAGAAGATGTGATTGCAGTGGGGTGGGTGTTTTGCATTTGATCTTATCCTTCTGTTTTCATCTCTAATTTTTGCATTTCTGGTCTGGCGATCCTGCTCCGTTTTACTGGAGAAAGAGAAACTAGAGAGTACGGAATTTTGTTAGCTTTTTCCATTATCCTTGACTGGGACTTAACTCGCTTTCTGAGTCACTTTCAACACTGATGCAGGATGATGACACAAACTATCATATGGACCTCATAGCTGCTCTTGCCAATATGAGGGCAAGGAACTACAGCATTCCTGAAGTCGACAAATTGAAGGCCAAGTTTATTGCCGGAAGGATCATTCCTGCTATTGCAACCTCAACCGCAATGGCCACTGGTTTGGTGTGCCTGGAGCTTTACAAGGCTTTGGATGGAGGGCATAAGCTGGAGGATTACCGAAATACATTCGCTAATCTGGCATTGCCTCTGTTTTCCATGGCTGAACCAGTCCCTCCAAAGGTTTTTAAGCATCGCGACATGAGCTGGACTGTTTGGGACCGATGGGTATTGAAGGGCAACCCTACCCTCAATGAACTTATACAGTGGCTCAAGGACAAGGGTCTGAATGCTTACAGTATCTCTTGTGGAAGTTGCTTGCTTTTCAATAGTATGTTCCCTCGCCACAGAGAAAGGATGGACAAGAAGGTTGTGGACCTTGCCACAGAAGTGGCGAAGATAGAAATTCCTCCTTATCGCCGCCACTTGGATGTCGTTGTGGCTTGTGAGGATGACGATGATAACGATATTGACATCCCACTGGTCTCTGTATATTTCAGATGAGCTTTGCTATGATTATGCTAAAGACATCCCCATCATCTTTATACATTCTCTAGGCCATAATATATGCGTTGTATCTCTTAGCCTGTATGAGGACATGAGGTTATGCAACACATGTTCTTGATTCGGAGTGGACATTTTCTTCTGTAGCGTTTATGTACTGGATATCTGTTCATGCACATCCACATGTAATATAGAGCCTAACTTCAGTTACATGAAATATGAGCTTCTTTCTGTATCGGCATTGTGTATGCAGTATGCTGTATGCATAATATTTAGGCAATGTCACAATGTGAAGGTCACACAATACTTCATTGTAAGACCGAGGTAATTTTTACTTAATTTAGGGGCAACTTTTTAATTCCTTTTGTGTAACGCCCTGCAAATAAATGGACTGAGATGGTCTCGTTCAAGACTATTATTTGGAATGTTATTCTTTGCAGTTATTGCTTAGTAATCTGAGTGATGCGAGCATGTTTGAGAGTTTTATCCCCTCTTTTCAGGGGTGATCTTAATATGGTGATTTGTTTATTGTGAAAGTTGGCTGAAGTGTAATTGTGTAAATCTGTAAATCCTTGAGCTAGGATCAAATGTTGAAAGTGTCAAAAGATGACAATGAAAAAATAAAGTTGTAAATTATTTCGGATTCAAATCACAATCACAAGAAGTTCGACCAATGAATGCAAATATTAAGCTTCAGATAGTTAATATAAACTGGTAGCCATGAATTGCTACCTAAAATAAAACTACAATATATCGTGAAGCTGAAGATTAATTGCAACAATAGCTTCAAAATCTTCCAAAAGATCTGCAGCTGATTTTTTATGCGCTTTTTGCAATGGTGTGGTTACAACAAAATGCGTTTATCCATCAATTTACAAGTGCAGAAATATCGGCCAAAACTTACCAAAAAAAAAAAACAAAAAAACTACAGATTGTTCAATTAATTGTATGCGGAGAATAATGGGTTCGCTTGCACCAGGAAAATCTCACTGGAGGTATGCAATTCTATGCATAACAATTACTCCGTATCAATTACAAGATAGATCCCCATTAGTTCCCTCCATATAGGCATATATTTCCAAGTTACAGCAACTCCATGATCCACAAGGAACACCACTACTAGACAATACAGTTCTGTGGATTTCAATTTTAAACCCTACTACCAAAAAGAACAACAGAACAGAGCAAGTCCTGAAAAATATGTTCCTCAGATAGCAGCACTCTTACAATACTTATTTGTATTTGGAGATCAGTTTTTATCAGCACCTTCGTCAAAGTCAGCAGAGTCAACAGTGCGACATTCCAGTTTCTTATTCTGTTTCAAGACTCTCCTTTTATCAAAATCTTCCCATCCCTCAATCTGGAAAAGAGATTTAATAGATTCATATCCTTGGAACATAAAGCATCAATCAATATAGTGAAGTAAAAAGCAGTATACCTGCCGAAGCTCATAAACTGCTATTTGTGTATTTGTAACATCAAGAGTTGAAAGCTTGACACAATTTTTCAATAGAGTAGATGGCAGTGATTTAAGTGGATTATTTTGAAGATGCAACGCCTATTGTAGAAAAAAAAAAAAAAATGGTTACGTATTGAAGCAACAGACATGGTAGCACTAATAATGTATGGAATTCAACCTGCAACTTTTGTAGTTTGCCAAGTGTCTCAGGTAACTCTTTCAGAAGATTAAAGGATATATTGACCTGGCCATACAAAACAAATTCAGTAAGGAAACTGACCGACACCATAAAATACGTTGATTATAGCTTAAAGAAGGTATAACTTGAGTTCAAAGAAAGTACTCCGTAATATAGCATCTGTATTTCTGTTGCCAACTCAAAAATTTCCTTTTATCCCCAGAAAAAATATTTATTATAAACCCTGGGGATGGATAAAAACATATAACACCGTTTAAATCTCAGTGCTAGAATTATATACCTCAATTAAAGCATTGCAGTCGCCTATATGAGAGGGTACCGCACTTAAACTGGCAAATAAAAGTAAGAATCAAGTCAATATGATTCTGAGGCAGAAATATCAAATTGACATAGAATATATGCAAATTATATGCAATAAGTTTTTCAAAGAAAAATGTTAAGCTCATAACTTTCAATCCAGATATAGGAAGATGATAACCAACTCACAAATAAGCCTCACAAACTTCTATAGTTCACTTAGTCATAAAAACTATTTGAAGTCTACAGCACACATATACTAACATCAAGAACTTTAACTTCATAGTCCTTGTGTATCTCAAGCTAAGATAACACATATTGTCAGATTTACCCTAGACATGCTGGGCTATAGATTTAATGATCTAGGGTTGCATATCATAAATCAAAATGAAATTATCAAATGTTGGATAGAGTGACTACACACCTGTTGTTGTTAACTTTAAAAATCTCTAGCCGAGTCAAAAGACCAAGTTCTACTGGTAGGCTTTCCAGTTTGTTGCCTGCAACGTGCAGCTGCTCCAGAGAAGTAAGTTCACCCAAAGAAGAAGGTAGATAAGTCAACCTACAAAAGTTACAGCGTTTAAAATTAATTAGTATGGGATTGCACCTGAAAATTCTCACTAAGTAATCAGAATACAGAATTGGGGTTTGTTGGAGGGGGATGAACGAGCCATAATTACAATGCATGTCTATACACCTAAGCTCTCTTTATGGAAATTGTTTTGAAAGTAAGTGTTCTTCACACAAATTTCCTTTTACTATAATTTCTCAACCGTTGCCAGTCCCAAAATCACAGTGATAACTTGCAAAAACTCTCCTCAAAACAGTTATGACTTATGACTGATTACCTCAGGGACATGCAATCAGTCTTTTCTTTCAATTAATTATATACGGGTACAATTTTTTTATTTTTTTTAAATCCAAACATGGGAGGCAAGTCTTATTATATCTAGAGAACTTACTGGTTTTGATCCAAAGAAAGATAGTTCAAATACTTCAACTGAGTTAGGTCTTCCCAACTTATTGAATCATCTGAGAGATCATTCGCATTCAACATCAACTTCTACAAAACCAGAATACAGAAGCACAATGTTTATAACAACTTTCTAACAGCAAAGTAATAGAAATGAAGGGTAATCACTTTAGTTTTAGTTCCTTACCTTGATAGATGTCAAGCAGCTAATTTTGGAGGGTATGTCACGAATATAGTTGTTGCTGAGATCAAGCACTTTAGGACAAGAGCCTGAAGACGATCCACATTCCCATACTTCATCAGGTATAGCCTTTAGATTTTTCAATATACAAAAATATACATCAATTGGATACATAAAAGAACACATTCATGGAAATAATCCCAGGAACTATGTGAAGAGATACTACACCAATGCAACATCAAAGAGTCTCCCGCCTTCGAAGGGGTGGGAAGGGAGGTATGGGGTATAGATAGAAGTATAGAAGCTTATCCTTGACCCTTGACCAATGTGCAACAACAATAATTAAAAATAAAATAAACAATTATAGTTAATTTATATTTTATAATATTTTTTCCAACATTTCTAAAGCAAGAACCCACCCTCTTCTACACATAAGAATCACAGTGATGCAAACACTTTTCAACAATCATCCAAACCTCTAACCCTCCTTTTTTTTACGATTTCAAGTTTAAATCTTAGAAATTAGATCCTTCCCTCTCTCCTCCTCCTATACCTTCAAAATCCACATCGGAATGCATTATAACAATAGTTTACCATCGGTTGAAAGTAATAATTCCCATAATCCGGGGACATGACTAAACCAAGGAAAATAGAGCCAACACTAAAACGCAAAATCCGAATAACATACACACAATCTATGTTCTTTGTCAGAAATTACACAACATCTCCACACTCAACCAAAATTGCACAAAATGCAAAATTATAAAACTTGAATTAACTATGCCACATTATGAAACTTGCAATAAAAGAATATTGGTTTTACCTTCAAATTAGACTCAGCAAGACCAATTACCCTAAACATCTTCCACCGATCAACACTAGACTTAAGTATGTTGGTCTCTTTAACAGGTGCAGAATTGAGGGACCGATCCTCATTCATAATCTTCTGATAAGTCGGTACCACAGGTGATTTTCCCTAAAATCCACACCAAATCAATCAATTCTATAAATAATCCAAACCCTAAATTTAACCAGCAACAGAATTCATCGATTATTTAAAAATTCATTCAAACCCAAAATTAAAGAGCTAAAACATCCTATAATTAACATCAAACTGATCAATTCTTCATATAATTTAAACCCAAAACTAATGTCATCCAAAAAAGGGAAGTAAGAAGAAATTAATACCCCTTGAAATTTACCACCAGAAGCCGTGAGCATGACTTTAGACTTATTAACAATACCCGAATCCCTCAATGTTTTAGAATCAACCAATTTAGCTCCTACAAATAAAAATCAAAATAAAAATTAATACTTGAATTGAAACAATGATTACGCCATGATCAAGATTGAAGAAAACCTTTGTGAATGAGCTGCTGGCCTTTAGGGAGGACGTTAGTGGAGTCCATGAGTTGTTGTTTGAGTTCAAAAACGGTGGAATTAATGTCAATTGAAAGTGGAAATCTTTCGCTTCCGAATTGGATCTTCAACTCCACCATTTCCGACATTTTTTGGTTATTCAGTTTAGCGCTGGTGTTTCTGTGAAACTCTTCTCTCTTTCTTTTGCAGGAATTCTACTAGACTTTGTTCTGCGCATCTACATACAAATATACTCCCTCCGTCCTTTTAGGGAAATACCATTTTACTTAAGTCGAGTGTAAAAATATACTCCCTCCGTTCTAAGTAAAAATAACAATACTTAATCACTCTGCCACAATTTTTTACAGCATTGTAATTTTTAGACATTGTATTAGTTATAATCAACAAGTTAAATATGTTTAAGGGGGTTGGACCCTTACTTGCCCTAACCAAGATCCGCCCCTGTCCGGACCAACAAGTGTTAAATAATAATTCTTTTCAACTTAACCACAAAGCACTTGTTAATTATCGTCTATTTATAGTAAGTGCTTGTCAATTATCAACACCTTACTCTTGATTGCTTTGATTTCATAATGTTAGCTTGTGCATCACCCAAGCTCGTACCGTGTTGAACTTGTTGACCTGAGCCAAAGTTACTGATTTTGGCGTACTTTTTTATGTCAAAACAAATTATGCCTTAACATGCGTCTCAAAAACAAAAATGCCTAAACCCAGCCCACGACATGGCACACAAAGTAACGCGTTGTGTTGTGTTTCATGTTGGACCGACCCGGAGCCATCTTTGCTAGCCCTACCTATTATAAAACAGATCATCGGATTTATCACCAATTACTTCCTCATGCATGAAATTAACATATAATGAGTTCGCAAGCCAGTCCGTTAGGAACAAACAGGCCGCTCTGGATGGGCTTATGACACAAATGAGATCCAAAAAAGTAGGGGCCATGACCCGAAAAAATGGAGAAGATGAAAGGAAAAAAAATTAGAGCACAAAAGAAAGTTGGTCGTCCTAAAAATGAAAAGAAAATGGTTAAAAATGGAGGGACCATAAGAAGCATGCATATGCATGTGAATTTATCTCATCTGCTAAAATGAGTACCATATAATCAATCTACCCTTTTTCAGAACCCACTTTGCTCCAATCAATTACCACATTTCACTAACAATTTCCCTTTTTCTTATTTCAAGTTACACCACATGCCCTCAATAATGTTTCCTCTTTTTCATGTATCCTCTACAATAATGCCTTTCAATTTTGAGTCAAGTAGAATTTTACTATACCTCACCATCTATATACATAGTAGTTCCTCCGTCCCTAAATTACATTCCTATTTCTAGCATTTATATTTGATAAACAAAATTTATATATTGCTTGTAGATTTTATTTTTTCACAGTTGATATATTTGGTATCTGTGGTAATATATTTTACTACGTACATGAAATGAATAATCCTTCCAATACGTTTTGATTGTTTTTCCCATCATTAATATTATCCTAGGATTCTTGAAGGTGAGAACAATACTTCGGGCCTGTTCACATTTATTGAACTGAGTTGAACTGAACTGAACTGAGCTGATTGGAGCTGAACTGAACTGAACTGAATTGATTGGAACTGAACTGAACTGAATTGAGCTGAAATGAATATTTTATGAGAGAGGAAAATTAAGAGCTGAACTGAACTGATTGGAACTGAACTGAACTGAACTGAACTGAACTGATTAGAGCTGAACTGAACTGAACTGAAATTAAGTAAATGTGAACATGCCCTTCATTAATTTCAATTCAAAAAATACAGAAATGTACATATTACTAGTATATTACAATAAAGGACTCAACTAGCTTTAGCAAACAAATCTCATAAATTGACACAAATAAGCATTGGACCTACTGTACTATATAGCTCACTAGATCAATACAGTTTCTTAATTACTTAATACTCCAATTTAAAGACACATTAAAGCATGATTTATAGAAAATAGAATAAAATTAATTTATGAATAAACTACTCTAGTTATGAATTATGATCATTATTCAGCTCTCGTGGCCTGTTAAAGGTTTCAGAATGATAGTCATTCACAAAAGATTTTGGTTTGGAATTAATCATAACATATAATCCTCTTCATAAAACAAAAAGAACAAATTAAAAAATACAGAGTAATTAACATGACATAATCATTAAGAAGCATGAACATGATTATTATTATACTCGTAATTAGTATATTAGGTCTATCTTAATAGAGATCCACATGTGATTAATAGATGATGAAAAGTATATGGCTCCCACGAGGAGAGGAGCACATTTCACATCAAAGATTTGACCCGGTCGTCTAATGTCCTTTTTAGCTAATTAATGCCTTTCATTTGTTAGGATTTGTAGTAATCATTTTTTAATTGATTAATAATTAACCAGCTGGGATGGAACAAACCAAAAAAGAAATTGGCATCTAATCCAAAATTGCCTCTACCTAATGACAATCTCTTCCTTCCAAACATATAGATACGATTTCCACCATTCTTATCCTTAAGAGTATTCACAAATGGGACCTCATAGTCCTAATTAATCCCATTATTTAGTTTTAAAAGCGTGACTCGATCTATAAATGTGAAAAATCCTTTGTGGTTTTGTAGCATTTTATCACAATTAGGTCATGTTTTGTTCACTTTATTTTACTTATATCTTGAAATAAAGTAAACATGAGGCCAAATGAGAGTGTAAATGTGTATTAACTAATAAGTATATATATATTGAACAATTAACTTGTGACAAGAGCTATGCATAAGTTTAAGTTGGTTTAAATAAGCTAAGCCAAGTTCAAGCAAGTATAGTTAAGTGAAAATCAAATGACTATATACAACATTATATTAGTCATAATTCATAATTTTATAAAAATAAAAAATAATAATGGAATTCTTTGAAGGGAATTGATGTTTGTTTATATCATTAGTCTACTATGACCATTTATTATTTGTTTTCTCTTTACATGACTATTCAACACCTATAATTCATTAAGCAATCCAAAATGAACAAATAATTCAACAATACAATATACGTGTGTTAAAGAAAAGGCAGTATATGACAAGTATAACAACCAAAATCGATTTAGAAATCAAGAGAGTACATAATATTGTTAAACGGTAAAGTTGGGTGACACGGACTCACTGTGAGTCCGCCGCCACCACAACCTCCCGCAGCCAGCCTACCCCGACCTTAAACCAGAAACTCACACCTCAACACCAACTCACAAACACCCACCTCGGCCTTGACCAGAAATATCCACCCGACTTTGACCTCGGCCCTGACTAGAAACACCCACCCACCCAGCCCTGACCTTGACCCTGACCAGAAAACCCACCCGACCCTGACCATAATCGCTCACCTCGTCCCCCACTTCGACTTGACCCAGAAATGCGTGAATCTTGGTCGCCGAAATTCTAGCTATTTCAATTAAGGTGGGCGGTGGTTGTAGTTAAGGTAGGGTGATGGGGTGGTGGTTTCGGTTCAGTTGGTGCAAGGTTGAGGAGAGAGAAAATATTGTAGTCATGGAAGAAGAAGGTTATTGGTAAAGGAGAAAATAATGTCAGATATTAGATGTTTATTGTTTGGTATTTGATTGTTATTGTTTGGTACTCCGTATTAGATTAATATTAATTGGTTTAATATTTTTCAGGATTTAGAAAATTTTAATCTGAAATAAGATTATTTTTATCAGGAATATCATAAACAAAATAAAGATGCTAGTCAGGAATAAGGGTTTGTTCACATTTACTGAACTGATTGGAGCTGAACTGAACTGAATTGAGCTGAAATGAATATTTTATGAGAGAGGGAAATTAGGAGCTGAACTGAACTAAACTGATTGAAGCTGAACTGAACTGATTGGAGCTGAACTGAACTGAAATTAAGTAAATATGAACATGCCCTAAGACTATTTTAGTCAGCAGTAAGATAATTTTTATCATCAGGTTTCTCAGACCCGCGCCTTTTTGTTGCTGAGTCCGGTCTCACATGAGTCCGATCTATGCAAAACCTTCTCTTGTTAAACATAAGTTTAAACGTTAACAACATGAATCATTAAAGGAAAATCTAGACAATCTTTTATCGAAGGAAAAAATCACGATACGTTTAGCATTATTTTACATTCCTTAAACACAACCCTCATCAACAATTATTTAGAAATCAAGAGAGTACATAATAATTGTAACACCTTTTTGTTAAACCATATCAACAATATATACTTCCTCCGTTCTTTTATTATTGCACCACTTGCCTTTTAAAGAAATTTCACAAATATTGCACCATTTCCATTTAAAGATACAAAATATGTGTGTTCACACTGTAAATATTCAATATACCCTTACTTTTAACACTTGATTCTTTACTTTATGTTTACATCACATGGCCTTATTTGTACTTTTACCCTTCTCTCTCCTCATTTTTCCCACTACTAAAAAATGTAAGCCCAACATGTATAGTGCAATAATTAAAAAACGGAGGAAGTATTTTCCTTAAGCCTTTACCCCTATGTATAAATTTATATTCCCACACACACAAAATTTCCAAAAAAAATTTAAAAAATAAAAAAAGTTTCCCCAATCCAACCAACTTAACCACCTCGAAACCTAATTAGCCTTAAATTTTCTCTCTCCTGTTTTTCTCTCTTCTCAAATTCCCTCTCTTTCATTTTTACATCTCCTTCTTCCCTTTACGTTACTCCCCATAACACAACCAATTGCACATTTGCACTGCACCACCACCACCATCATTTTCTCTCTCCTCAACCCCAAATCTCCGCTTAATTAATGCTTTGATTTTCTTTTCTGGGTTTCCCGGGTCGGGTCAATGTGGCCGTCTTCGTGGGTTAAATCATCATCATCTTCTTCTTCATCCCCAAAAAAATCCAATAATAATACTCCTAAACACAAATTCAATTCCTCCAATTTCCGATGTTCTTCCTTTAAAGACATCGAAAATCTCTGCAACATCCAAGATTTCGATTCACCCCTTAAACGCCAACCTTCTGCTCCGACCCAAACCCGAACCGTCCGCTCCGTTTTCCACCGCGTTCGCACCGCTAACTCCCTCCTTCAACAATGGGCCAACAGATCCGACCCAACAACACCAACAACAACAATACCCGGCCCAAAAGAAGACGGCCCAAAACCACCCTCCTCGGAGGCCCGAATCGTGGTTTACTACACCAGTCTCCGGGTAATCCGGCCCACATTCGAAGCATGCCGGTCAGTTATAGCAATACTACAAGGGTTCCA